AGAGGTCGATGCCGGCCTTGGCGCAGCTCGAGCACCGGTTCTCGGTCTTGATGCCGCACACGAGGCACGTCTGGTCCCACTCGGAGCTCATCTCGCAGGTTGGACGATGAGGGTGATGTCGTGGAGGAGGTGTGTGCTCGTGGCTGATGAGGGGAGCTGGAGAGGCGAGGACGGTGTGGGGCCGGGTGCTGGTACTCGGAGGCGTGTTCGAGAAGTCTGCTGATGCGATCGAGTGCGTCTCTCAGCCAGCAAGGGGCGAGGGTAGTGAGGGTGAGGAGCAAGAGGTTCGACTTGGCGAAGGCGGCTCTCGTCCTCCCTCCTCCTCCTCTCCCCTCAGCGACCGGCACCGCTGCCGAGCTCGAGCGCACTTCTTCATCTTCTGCATCGATCATCTATGCCTTCCGACCCAGTCCCGCAGCCGTGCGAGGTCTGCGGCGTCGAGACGGTCCACCGCTGCTCGGCGTGCGTCGAGGCCGGCATCTCGCTCTTCTTCTGCGGCAAGGACCACCAGAAACTCGTGCGTCCCCTCTCTCGACCTCTCTTGATGAGCCCGAGCTGACCCAGCAACTGCCCACAGGTCTGGCCGGCGCACAAGACGGTCTGCGGGCCCGGCAAGGCGCACCCGTTCGCCGTCATGCCGCTCACCGACGACGAAGCGACCTGGATCGAGCATCATCTGGACGACACGGACCTCGAGCCTGGCGTGACGATCCGCAAGCAGATCGCACGCACGTCAAACAGCCGCCAGCCCGCTGAGGTGCGTCCGCCCGCCCACTCGCCCGCCCGTCCTTTCGACCCGTGCACGCGACTGATTCGCTGTCACATCTGCAGATGATCGTGCAGGACATCGTCAGCGGCGCGTACGAGCAGAGTGAGCTTCCCGACAAGCTCATGCTCGTCCACTGGCTGCGCGGCTCCCTGGGCGACCGAGACGTCCTGGGTCGTCACGTCGCGTCTGCGCGCCGCCTCGAAGAATGCGGCGCACGCGGCTACGACGCGCTCACAGGCGCCCAGCAGTGCGCCATCGTATTCATCGGCGTCGCGGCCGTTCTGGGACGCGCAGGCTTGAGGCACCTGGCCATGCGCGACGCCACCTGGATCAGCCTTCTCCAGCACAAGGCGCTCCTCACGAATCGGCTTGTTCAGCTCCTGGCCATCGGCTGCGACAAGGACGCCGAGCTGAGGGGGCTGGTGGCAGCTGCGCGAATCCGCCTTTTCGAGTGGGCCGCCACGGGCGCCGGCAGCGGCGACCCGAGGATCGAGCGCGCGCTCACCGAGTACTATGAACAGCGCGGACGAGCGGGGGAGCTGTAGCGAGCGCGTTCTTCAGGTCATCCGGGGGCGGTGCACAGAGCGTACATGTTCCTGGTCCGCCGTACTCGCCGCGACCCTGAGAGCTCTCGAGAGCCCGAAAGTCCTTCTCGCGCACCACCTCGTTGCACTCTCCTCTACGACCCTCCCTTCTCTCCCTCCTCGCCCGTCGGCGCCATCGCCGCTCCTACCCGCCGCAGCACCTCCCTCACGACGAGCCCCGCATCGCCTCCCGAGACGCGCGCGACGCGCTCGAGCCTCCTCTCGAGCCGGGCCCGCGCCGCCTCCTCTCGCTGCTGCTGCTCCTCGTCGCTGCCCTCGCCCGCCTGCGCGCCGCCCGGCGAGCTCGACGAAGGAGGCGAGGCGAGCTTGAGCGCGCGAGGGAGGTGCAGCCTCGCCGTGAACGCGCCGCCCTCGCTGTGGCTGTGGGCGTATGGACACACGAGCTCGAGCGCGACGGGCGCGCCGGCGAGCCCTGGGTCGCACGACGAGGTCGACGTCGAGGTGGTGAGGAGCAGGGGGAAGGTGAAGGTGACGCCTGGACCGCGAGGGGACGAGGTCGGGTGGACCGAGATGGGGACGGGTGGGGGAGGAGCGCCGGGCGAGGGAGCTGCGGGACGGACGAGGGTCAGGGTGCGTCGCGAGAGAGCGAGAGAGTCTGGCACGAAAGCGGAAGAGAGCGAGAGCGAGCGACGCACGCGCAAAGAGGTCCTCGAGCGTCATCCCGCCCAGCCCGCCTCCCTCCCTCGCCCTCGCCCTCTTGGCCGGCCTTGCCGCCCCCTCGGCGCCCGCCCTCATCCGCCCAGCCGGCGACGACCCTCGCGGAACGACGACAGCGCTGCGCACGAGTGCGCCGGCGCGCACCTGGGCGTCGAGGACGCCGAGCGCGGCGACGAGTTGCGGGGCGTGGGCGAAGCGGAGGTGGGTTGCGACGAGGCGCGGTGCGGGTCTGGGTGACGGGGAGGGTGCCGAGGATGCGGTAGAGGGGGTGGGAGGGAGCGAGGGAGGCGCGGGGGTGAGGGTGAAGGAGAGCGGCGGGCAGTCGGGGTGCGTCTGCGTTTGGGAAGGTCGTCAGTCTCGGTCGCTCGTCGCCGTCGCGGTGGATGAGGAGCGAGAGGGGACGCACGGTTGTGGCTCCTTCTTTCTGAGCGCGCTCAAGCCCGTCCTGAGCGCCAAGAAGCGCCCCGACCCACCCCTCGGCGTCCTCCTGCTCGTCCCGGTCCAGCTCGCCCTGCCCCTCCTCGTCCATCCTCGCCGCTCCCTCGTGCCCAATTTCAAGCCCGAGCGCCTCGCACACCTTCCTCGCCGTCCGTCGCGAGAGCGGCACGGCGGGGCTCAAGCGCGCGACGTAGGGCCGCGCCAGGTCGGACCCACCGCTGGCGAGCGGCGCGTTGACGATGGCCGTGAGCGAGATGGTCGCCGTGTGGGTGCCGTCGTCGTCGTCCGAGGTGGTCGAGGAGGATAGAGGGATTGGCGGGGAGTGGTAGACGAGGCGAGGAAGGAGCGAGGACGGGGAGGGAAGGAGGCGGAGCGAGGTCGGCGAGGATCTGCACGCACGCAGGGTGTCAGTGCTGTAACCCGAGGAGTCCTCGCGAGACGAGGGGAGAACGAGAGCTCACGAGATCGCCTGAGCGAGCTCGACGGGCAAGTCGCGCGTCAGCCTCGCGAAGCAGTCGTCGCCCGTGCGCTCGGTCGCGTCGTCGAGCTCGTGCAGCTCCTCGAGGAGCGTCCTCACGCCGCGCCACCGCACCTGCGCCGAGCTACTGCTCGACTCGGTGGTGGCGGACGGCGGTGCGGCGAGGAGCGCGTGCAGCTTGTCGGACGCGGCGGGGCACTGGGCGTCGTGCCCGGCGACGACGTAGGCGACCTTTGTGCGCTCGACGCGCTGCTGCTGCTGCTGCTGCGGGGCGTCCGAGGTCGAGGTTGACGACAGCTCGACGTCGACGGCCATGAGCTTGCCGCCGAGCGACAGGACGACGGGGCCCTCGTCGCGGCCGTCGAGGGCCGGGTCGTCGCGGAGGTGGACGAGGCCGAGGTCGGCCGCGACGCGCTCGAGCGTGTCGAGGATGCCGCGTGCGCCCGAGCCGGGTGCCGGGGTGCGCGCGGGGAAGAGGGCGCGCGAGGACGAGGACGAGGAGGCGGAGAGGGAGGCGGTGCGGGCGTCGAGGAGGGGCTGCTCGGCGAGGGCGGCGTCGCGGAGGAGGGTGAGGAGCTTGTCGCGGTCGCGCGGGTCGGGCTGGGTCGTTGGTGCTCGAGGCGGTGCTGCGGGTGCGCCGTCGAGGGCGAGGTGCGAGAGGGCGGTCAAGCCGGCGCGCAGGTGGGTGATCGAGTCGCGGGTGCGTTGCTTGAGGTAAGGGATGGCGGCAGGCGGGACTTGGCTCAGGGCGTGGCTGTGGTGGTGAGAGCCGTCGGGCGAGACGAGGGTGGAGAGCGTCGAGCGGAGCGAGTGTGCGACGGCGAGGAGCGACTCGGGGGCCGGGGCTGTTGAGGCCATAGTGGCGTGTAGCTGTCGACCGTGCAGCTCTCGGCAACGTGTGAGTGGTTGTCGAGCTCGTCGTCGTCGTCGTCCGGCCAGGCCAGCTTCATCTCTCCCCCGCTCTCTTCTCTCGCCCTGTACCGCACCTTGCTGCTACGAGGCCACCTGCAGCACACAAGGGCAACTCGTGCATCACCCTCGGCAAAGTCCCATGTGCGTCCACCCTCTCGCCGTCGCCTCGTTGCCTTAGTCCGCCGTCCCCGCCCTCGTTGTTGTCCTCGTCGCACTGACCGAGTCTGGCCCGCGCCTGACAGGGCACACTGGGCACACTCGCCGTCCTTCGACACTCGCCAGTCTGACCGCACCTCGACAAACGCCCTCGCCCACCCTCGACTCGACCACGACCTCGACCTCCCCACCTCGCCGCCGACTTGTTCCCGCCTCGACGACGACGACCTCGCGCTCGACCATGACCGATCCTACTCGGCCACAGCCGCCTACGCGGCCCACCCGACCTCCCGCTACAGCGACCCCGAGGGCGACGCCGTCATGCGCACCCTGAGCCCAGAGCCTGCCGCCGCTCCCGCTCCCGACCGTTACCGCGACACCGAAGACGCCTGTATGCGCCCACCGAGCGAGGTCCGTCCTCGTCCCTCTGTCCCCAACCCCCCTCCCGCCCCTGCCTGCGCCGCCCACTCTCCTCGCAGTCGCCCGCCCCCCACCCGCTCGCCAGCTCACCTGACCTCGCACCTCGAACGTGGCCCGCCAACCCTAACTCTCCTCGATCGCGCCCACAGGAACCTCTCGGCAGCTCTATCCTCATCGGCCCATCGTCGTCGACCCCGGCCAAGGCCGCCGCCGCCCAGTCGTCGCTCGGCCTCGCCTCGTCGACCGCCGCCGCGTCCGCTAGCTCCGGCGCCCCATCCTCGTCGGCGGGCGTCACGCGCAACCCGTCCCTGCGCGCACGCGACGCCTTCTCGCGCCTCCGCATCGGCTCGTTCGGCGCCGCGCCGCGCCCGTCGCTCCCCGCCGCCCCGGGCCCGGGCAGCGTCGCAGGCGGCTCGTCGGCGCCGGGCAGCCCGACCACGAGCGACAACGGCTCGGCGTCGTCGCACCAGTACCACCGCGCCGGCGCGACCGTGCCCGACACCAAGCACCAGACGCCCGCCGCGAGCTTCCTCAGCGCCTTCTCGCCCCCGTCGAGCGTCGGCAGCGCGCGCTCGCCCTCTCCCCCCTTGCCCGGCGCGCGCTCGCGCCTCGCCTCACCCACCGGCGCACCCTCGTCGCGCGCGTCGCACGCGCACGCCTACGCGCCGTTCGTCCTCCCGCCGCGCGGCGACGAGGAGGGGTACCGCCTGTGCGCGACGCACGACGGCGCCGACGACGAGTGGGAGTACGAGCTCGGGCGCGAGCTCGGCCGTGGCGGCATGGGCCTCGTGCGCGAGGCCGTCCGCCGCCGGCGCATCTCGCCTACGCCCTCGCGCGGCGGCGGCGGCGGCGGCGACGGCCCGGGCGGCGAGAGGGCGACGACGGCGAGGGACGAGACGCGCGTCGCCGTCAAGATCATCCCGCGCCGGCACCCGCACTTTGTGTCGCTGTCGGCCCTGCGCGAGGCCATGGGCAGCGGCGGTGCGCTCGACGGCGAGTTTGCGCACCGCACCGTCCACATGCACCCGGCGCCCGTGTCGGGCTCGGCGGCGCGCACGCCCGGGCTCGGGAGCGGGCTCGGTCCGCCTGGAGGAGCAGGAGCAGGAGGGGCAGGGCCGCGCCGGGCGTCGCTCAGAGGGGCGGCGCTCGGCCTCGACCGCGACCGCGAGCGGCTCGACATCGGCGGCGGCGGCCCCGGCGCCGGGACCGACCTCGAGCGCTCGCGCAGCACGAGCAGCCCGATCCGGCCCCGGTTCGCCGGCATGCGCGGCGTCAGCATGGCGCCGCTCGAGAGCCCGGCGCCGAGCCCGCCCGCGATCGACGAGTCGTTCCTCGGCACGAGCGCGCCGCGCCTCGACGGCGGCGGCGACGCAGGCGCAGGCGGTGGCGGGTTCTTTGCGGCGGCCGAGCGCGAGCGCGAGAGGGACCGGGCGCGCGCGGCGACGCAGGACGGCGCGGGCGCGAGCGCGAGCGAGGGCGGGCCCGACGGCGAGGTCGACCTGCTCGACCTGCTCCTGCAGCGCGAGATCTCGCTCTGGCGCCAGCTGTCGCGCCTCGTCCCGGCCTCGTCCTCCTCCTCGTCGTCGTCGTCGGGCGGGACGGACCACTCGCGCCTCGTGACGCGCTGGACCGGGCGCGGCGGCCACCCGCACATCGTCGGCCTCCTCGGCACGCACCGCACGGCCGAGTTCGACTACGTCTTCATGCCCCTCGCCGAGGGCGGCACCCTCCTCGAGTACGTCACGCGCCCCGAGACGCGCAACCGCGAACCGTCCGACCCGGACGCGTCGTCGAGCTCGGCGGCGTCGAGCGTGAGCGGCGGCGGGGGGCGCAGGTCGGCGTCGCGAGGGCGGGCGCGCGGCGCACCTCGGCGCGCGCGCATGTCGATCCCGATCGCCGGCACGGCGTCGTCGCTGTCGCCGCCGGCGTCGTCGGCCGCCGCCGCTGCTGCTGCGGCCGCTGCGGCCGGGCCAAAGGGCTTGCCGCTGCACGAGGCCGGCGAGGCGTTCCTCCAGGTCGCAGAGTCGGTGTGGTGGCTCCACCGCGAGGCCGGCGTCGTGCACCGCGACCTCAAGCTCGAGAACGTCGTCGGGTGCTGGGAGGTGCCGCCCGCCGTCGGCGCGAGCGCCACCGCCGCCGCCGTCGTCGAGTCGTCGTCGTCGTCGTCGACGTCCCGGTCCCGAGGTCGGTCGTCGAGCAAGGCCAAGTCGGGCGTCGTCGCCGGCGCCGCAAAGGCGAGGACCCGCCGCGTGTGGAAGATTGCCGACTTTGGGCTCGCCGAGGTCATCCCGCACCAGCAGGCGCCCGCAGCGGCGACGGGCGCCGTCCAGGGCGTGCAGCCCCTCGCCGCGCTCGCGCGTGCGGGCTCGCTCTCGCGCCCGGGTGGCGGCGGCGCAGGCGACGGCGAGGAGCACGGGCAGCACGCTCTCGCGGCGTCGGTCGGGCCGGGCGCACCGCTCTCGACGGGCCTGAGCGCATCGGCCATCCTCCCCTCGCCGCACGCGTCGGCCGTCGCCGCGCCGCCGAGCAACTCGCCCCTGTCGGCGCTCCTGCACCCGGTCGGCTCGCTGCCGTACTCGTCGCCCGAGGCGATGCGCTCGCCCGTCCCGATCGTGCACCCGTCGATCGACATGTGGGCCCTCGGGTGCGTCCTGCACGCGCTCGTCGCCGCGCGCCTCCCCATCTGGGAGGAGTGGGAGCTCCGGCTCCGGGTGCGCCTCGTCAAGGGCGAGTGGGACGTGCCCGTCGAGCTCGACCCGGACGCGGCGGCGGGCGAGGCCGACGACGACGAGCGCGAGGAGCGCGCCATGGCGCTCGAGGTGCTCAAGGGCTGCCTCGACAAGGACCCGCGCTCGAGGTGGGACATCCAGCGCGTGTGCGACAGCGCGTGGCTGCACCGGGTCCGCGCGCGCGAGGCCGAGGCCCGCTCTGTCGCCGCCGCCGCCGCCGCCGCTGCTGCTGCTGCAGCCTCGACCTCGGCCTCGAACGGGCACCCGCAGCAGCACCTCGCGCCGACGTCGCCCGCCTCGACCCGCCAGAACTCGCGCGGCCGAGCCCCGACGCGCACCTCGACCGGCTACTCGTTCCCTCCCTCGCCCTCTTCCGCCTCCCTCACCCTCACGTCCGCCGGCCCTCCCCCCGCGCCGTCCTCGGGTGCTCGCGAGCCGTCCACGTCCGGGACCGGCGGCGGCGGCGGCGGCGGCGGCAAGAGCTCGTCGCGCTCGCGCACGCGGCTCACGACGCGCTCGAGCTCGAGGTCGAGCGCGTACGCGCACCAGATGGGCGCCATCGGCGGGTCCGAGGCGCAGGACGCTGAGCGGCGCGAGCGCGGCAGGAGCGAGCGGCGAGCGAGGTGGGACGAGGCTGGGACGGGCAACGCGCGCATGAGGAGCTCGAGTCGGGCGAGTGCGAACGGGGCGGGCTTGACGGCTGAGGAGGAGGCGGCGCTCGCGGTTGCGCAGGGGCTCAGGAGGGGCAGGAGCGCGAGTCGGACGGGAGCGGGTGCGGGTGCGGGTGGGTCGCACGGGCGCAGAAGGAGCAGCGCGACGGGGAGCAGGGACAGCCGCGAGGGGAGGGAGGACGGGACGGGGACGCCGACGGTGCTCGAGACGGTCGGTGAGCCGTACTGAGTGTTGAGCAGGGTCGTTGCACTGCAGCCTGCTTCCGAGCTCGCAGGACGAGCTTGAGAAGGTCGCGAGGCTGCGTCGACCAAGCGGCAGTGACGGCTGCTCTCTTTGCACGACTCGCTCACACTGGTCTCTGACCGCTGCGCGAGAGTCTCTCGCTGGGAAAGCAGAGCGGATCTCGGCGACGAGAGGCTCGCTCGACGTGGAAGCCGTCTGGGAGCGGCTCGTGCAGGAGAGGTCGCCCGCCGTCCCTCCACAGCCGAGTCGAGACCCTCGGCGCAAGCTTATGTGTCCACCGAGCCTGTGCCAGCTGGTGGCGGGCCAAGAGAGGCGAGCGCGAGTCGCGGCAGATCGAGAGACCCTGGACGAGGTCGAGGGACGACGAGAGAGTCGCTCGGTGCGCCCGCGACGAGCGGGTGCCGCAGTAGCCGAGCAGCGTGCTCCACGACGACGAGCATGAGGAACGGCGAGCTCGACCGCTGTAGCAGAGAGGGCAGCCGAGCAGGTTCGGCGATGCCGCGGGATTGAGCCGGAGCGGCCCATGGCAGACGGCGGCGAGCTGGGCGCTTCGGCCGTGCCAGCCAGCAGCGTGCAAGCAGGCACTCTCGCTCGACGCGCGGCCTAATGAGAGAGTGCGCAAGCCGAGGTGACCGGGTGAAGGCGGAGGAGGGAGGGAGGAGGACAGGCGACAGGGGCAGCGCAAGGCCACGGCGGAGCGGTCCAGGCGAGCGACGCCGAGCTGCCTAGCCTGTGGCTGTAGCACTCTGAGCGGCGAGTGCAGAGCGAGAGCCAGCGGCCTTTCCGCCCTCGTTGTCGTCGTCGTCGTCGTCGCTCGCCTCGTCGTCTCCGCAACGACGCTTTCCCACTCGACCTTTGTCCGCCAGGCCCATGCTTGCGTCTGCACGCGCCCTCAGGGCTCTCCCGCGCACCCGGCCCTTGGCCTGCGCCCGTCGCTCGCCGGCTCTCGCGCGCCCCTTCACCGCCGCCACCCCGCGACTCGAACCGCTCAACGGCGGCAGCGCCAGCTATGCCGAGGCCATGCTTGAAGAGTGGAAGCAGGTGCGCATCCTCTCGTCTCATCCTCGCCCCTCCCCGTCGAGCGGTCGGCCTGTTGTCCCTCGAGCTCGTTCGGAGAAGGCCGGACCGCAGAGACCACCTGACTGACCCTCGACTCGCCTTCTGCAGGACCCGTCGAGCGTGCACGCGAGCTGGAGGGCCTACTTTGAGCTCACCGAGGGCGGCCTCCCCGCGAGCCAGGCCTTCCAGGCGCCCCCCATCGCCATCGGCGACAGCATGGAGGGCCCGGCGCCCGTCCTGCTCAACATGGGCGGCGGCGGCCAGATCGAGGACCACATGAAGGTCCGTCCCTCGCTCTCTTGCTCTCAACCCGTGCGCCAGGCGGGGTGACGAGGACCTCGAGACTGACCTCGAGCCGATCGCCCTCCTCCTTCCTCCCACGACCTACAGGTCCAGCTCCTCGTCCGCGCGTTCCAGGTCCGCGGCCACCACATCGCCAAGCTCGACCCGCTCGGCATGAGCCACGCCGACCTCGACGGCACGACGCCCTCGGAGCTCACGCTCGAGCACTACGGCTGGACCGAGAAGGACCTCGACAAGGAGTTTGAGCTCGGCGCCGGCATCCTCCCGCGCTTCAAGAAGGCCGGCACCGACAAGATGACGCTCCGCCAGATCATGGACACGTGCAAGAAGATCTACTGTCCGTCCTCGCCTCCTCCCTCGCTCCCCTCGACTCGCTTCGGCTTCGGCTCTCTCGACGCCCGTACTGACCTCTTTCTCTCCCCGCTCTCGCACAGGTGGCTCGATCGGCATCCAGTACATCCACATCCCGAACCGCGACGAGTGCGACTGGATCCGCGAGCGCATCGAGATCCCGAACCCGTACAACTACTCGACCGAGGAGAAGAAGGCCATCCTCGACCGCCTCGTGTGGTCCGACTCGTTCGAGCGCTTCATCGCGTCGAAGTACCCGAACGAGAAGCGCTTCGGCCTCGAGGGCTGCGAGTCGCTCGTGCCCGGCATGAAGGCCCTCATCGACCGCTCGGTGGACCACGGCGTCAAGTCGGTCGTCATGGGCATGCCTCACCGTGGTCGCCTCAACGTCCTCGCCAACGTCGTCCGCAAGCCGACCGAGGCCATCCTCGCCGAGTTTGCGCCGTCGCAGGACCCGAACGAGGAGGCGGCGGCCGACGTCAAGTACCACCTCGGCGCCAACTACGTCCGCCCGACGCCCAACGGCAAGCGCGTCGCCCTGTCGCTCGTCGCCAACCCGTCGCACCTCGAGGCCGCCAACGGCGTCGTCCTCGGCAAGACCAAGGCGCTGCAGCACTTTGAGGGCGAGGCCGACCCGTCGACCGCCATGGGCCTCCTCCTTCACGGCGACGCCGCCTTTGCCGGCCAGGGCGTCGTGTACGAGACGATGGGCTTTGCCGACCTGCCCAACTATGGCACGGGCGGCACGGTCCACATCGTCGTCAACAACCAGATCGGCTTCACCACCAACCCGTCGCAGGGCCGCTCGACGCCGTACCCGTCCGACATCGCCAAGGCGATCGACGCCCCGATCTTCCACGTCAACGCCGACGACGTCGAGGCCGTCACGTACGTGTGCCAGCTCGCGGCCGACTGGCGCGCCAAGTTCCGCAAGGACGTCGTCGTCGACCTCGTGTGCTACCGCCGCCACGGCCACAACGAGGGCGACCAGCCCATGTTCACCCAGCCCAAGATGTACGAGACGATCAAGAACCAGCCGACGACCCTGTCGCTGTACACCAAGCAGCTCGTCGAGGAGAAGTCGTTCACGGACGAGGAGACCGAGAAGCACAAGTCGTGGGTGTGGGGCCTCCTCGAGGAGTCGTTCGACAAGAGCAAGGAATACAAGCCGACGTCCAAGGAGTGGCTCTCGTCGTCGTGGGACGGCTTCCCCTCGCCGCGCGAGCTCAAGGAGAACGTCCTCGAGGCGCGCCCGACCGGCGTCGACTTTGACACGCTCAAGCACGTCGGCAAGACCATCTCGTCGTACCCGGACGGCTTCAACGTCCACCGCAACCTGCAGCGCATCCTCAAGACGCGCGGCACCTCGATCGAGGAGGGCAAGAACATCGATTACTCGACGGCCGAGGCGCTCGCGTTCGGCACGCTCGCGCTCGAAAAGGTCCACGTCCGTGTCTCGGGCCAGGACGTCGAGCGCGGCACGTTCTCGCAGCGCCACGCCGTCCTGCACGACCAGAAGACGGACGAGCAGTACGTCCCGCTCAAGCACCTCGGCGAGGGCCAGGGCCCGGTCACGGTCTGCAACTCGTCCCTGTCCGAGTACGGCGTCCTCGGCTTCGAGCTCGGCTACTCGCTCGTCGACCCGGCCCTCCTCGTGATCTGGGAGGCGCAGTGTGCGTCCCACCTCTCCCTCTTGTCGTCGTCCTCCTTTGAGCAACGCGAAACTGACTCGCCCTCTCTCGCCCTCTCTCCCCCTCTCTCGCAGTCGGCGACTTTGCCAACGGCGCCCAGATCATGATCGACCAGTTCATCGCCGCCGGCGAGCGCAAGTGGCTGCAGCGCTCGGGCCTCACCCTGTCGCTCCCGCACGGCTACGACGGCCAAGGCCCCGAGCACTCGTCGGCGCGCATCGAGCGCTTCCTCCAGCTGTGCGACGACCACCCGTTCATCTACCCGACGCCGGAGAAGCAGGCGCGCCAGGTCCAGGACTGCAACCTCCAGATCGTGTACCCGACCATCCCGTCCAACATCTTCCACGCCCTGCGTCGCCAGATCCACCGCGACTACCGCAAGCCCCTCGTCGTCACCTTCTCCAAGAACCTCCTCCGTCACCCGCAGGCGCGGTCGTCGCTCGAAGAGTTTGGGCCCGACACGCACTTCCAGCGCTACATCGCCGAGGCCGAGCCCGAAGGCTTTGCCGCGCCCGACGACGTCGTGCGCCACATCCTGTGCTCGGGCCAGGTCTACTACACGCTCCTCGCCGAGCGCGAGAAGCGCGGCCTCAAGAACGTCGCCATTTCGCGCGTCGAGCAGCTGTCGCCGCTCCCGTACGACCTCATCACGCCCCACCTCGACCGGTACCCGAACGCGACGACCTACTGGGTCCAGGAGGAGCCGATCAACAACGGCGCGTGGACCTACGTCCAGCCCCGCATCGAGACGGCCATGCGCGAGACGCAGCACCACAAGACGCGCCGCGTCTACTTTGCCGGTCGCGGTCCGACCTCGTCGGTCGCCACGGGCTCCAAGAAGCAGCACGCGCTCGAGATCGAGCAGTTCTGCGCCGCCGCGTTCGACCTCGAGGCGCACCGCGTCGAGTTTGACAGCCAGTGCGTCCCCCTCTCTCATCCTCTGCCTCGCTCTCCTCGAGCGAGACTTCCTGACCCTCGCTCTCTTCCACAGGTCTGCGCACAAGAAGGGCGACTTCTAGACGTCCTCTATCGCCTCTCTCTCTCTCCTCAAGTTGTCTTTGTCGGACCCTCCCTTCCCTCCTCGCCCGCCGCATCTCGCACTCCCCTCTCCCTCCCTCGCCTGAATATGCTCCCCTCTCCCTCTCCTCTCACGCACCTCGCTCTCGACACATCTTTTCGACTCGTCCAAGCCCTCTCTCCATCTGTGCCCACCGCCTGCCCCCACTCCCTTGCCCTTTCTCTCCCTCGCCCTCTCTCCCTTAGCGACCCACCTCTTCCTCTCCTCCCTCACTTGTGATCATCAAAGACGAACCGTTCTCGCTGGACCCCTGTGCGCTCGAGAGAGAGATCGGACTTGCGGCGAAAGAGGTCACGAGAGGAGCGCGCTCGTCCCTCGCGTGAGCGTGGGGGAAAGGCTCGATCTACGTCGAGCGCCGGAGCGGAACGGGTCGGTCGGAGCAGCAGCGAGCCTGCAGCACAAAGAGCGCAGCGAGGAGAGCTCGAAAGCGCGGAACCGGTGCGACGGGCTCGACCGCCGCAGCGACCGCTTGCCCGGTCGAACGGCCGTCCCGGCGTTTCCTCGCGGGCGGTGCTCGACGCACGACCCTCTTGGAAGACGCTGAATGGCGGCGACCGCGCGCCGACCTCTGCGAACGCGGGTCGAGGTACGCCGGCGGGACGCCGCAGCGGTCAAAGCGCGCGCCTCGAGGAGTTTTCGTTTGATAGCGCAAGCGTGCGAGATTGTGGCTCGCAGCGAGCTAAAGCACCAGGTGCCCCGTGCTCGTCGAGCGTTCGCGAGAGTTTGCGGAGGAGGCGGTCCGGGCGTCGATCGTACGCCGGCCTTCCCAAGTTGACCTCTCTCGCGGCGTCCACGCTCTCGTGACCGCTCGTGCGCCTGCGGGACAAGTCGGACGGTCGCACCCAGCGCAACTTTGCACGTCTGGTGATGCGCGCAAACGCTGCGGCACGCCGGGCTCGGCGGTGTGAGAGTCCGGCGGCGAATCGAAACACGGACCCTTCGTGGACGTCCGCCCCCGCGCTTTCTACCCACCGGGTGACCTCGAAAAAGCGCGCTTAAAAGGCTTGGCTGTCGCTCGAGTGCAATCGAGCCCAGGGCTGAGAAGGTAGGGAGCACCGCACGAGGAGCGAGCCCTGATTGCGCCTTGTCGCCGACGGCGAGGCTGCCCGTGCCCTCTCTCCGGCTCTCGTTCTCCTCTTTCTCGTCACCCGCTCTACACGCTCGACCCGCTCGACGAGCTACACGCACGATGCTCGACAAGGAGATCGACTCGGAGAAGGGCTTCAACGGCGGCAGCAGCGTCAACGAGCGCCAGTCGCCCGGTCCTGCGGCCGCGTACGACGGCCAGATTGACGAGGGCATCGACAAGAACGAGGACTTGCACCGTGGCTTGAAGGCCAGGCAGATCTCCATGGTGCGTCGTCGCTCATTCCCCGCGAGAGAGCCTCCCTGACTTCCTCCTCATCCTCCTTCTCCTCGTCGCAGATTGCCATCGGCGGCTCTATTGGTACCGGTCTCGTCATCGGCTCCGGGTCCGCTCTGACTCGCGGTGGACCTGTCGGCCTGCTCCTCGCTTACGTCGTGAGTCTGAGCCGCTTCAGGGAGCGGACCGTGCACGTTCTCGTCGCTCACCTTCTCCTCCTCGCCACAGATCATGGGCTTCTGCGCCTTCGCTACGATGATGTCGCTCGGCGAGATGGCGACCTACTTGCCGTCAAAGAAGGTGCGTCGTCCCGTGCAGACGGTCATGAGGCGGACCCGAAACTGACACTACTCCTCTTCTTCCTCCAGGGCTTCGGCGGGTACGCCTCGCGCTTCGTCGACCCCGCTCTCGGCGTCGCCGTCGGGTGGTGCTACCTTGCCAAGTACCTTGTCGTCACGCCCAACAATGGTGAGGAGCAAACTCGTCCTGCTCGCGTCCTGCTCGTTCCCGCCTTGCGACGACCTCGACTGACCTCCTCGCGTCTCCCCAGTTGTCGCCGGCTCTCTCGTGATCACGTACTGGACGTCGACGGTCCCGACTGGAGCTTGGATCGCCATCTTCATCGTCCTCATCGTCATCCTCAACCTCCTCGGTATCAAGCTCTTTGGCGAAATCGAGGTACGTTCTCCTTTCCCTTAAACCCTGTTTCCTCCATCGTCGAGCATACGGGCTCACACTCGCTCGGCACTGCAGTTCTGGGCGTCCTTCCTCAAGATTGTCGTCCTCACCGGGCTCATCCTCCTCGGCCTCATCATCGACCTCGGCGGCGTTCCCGGCGTCGGCCGTATCGGCTTCCGGTGCGTCCTCTTTCTCTCACAGGCTCGCTCGACAGAGACTCGGCCGTCGTGTCGGCCTGCGTCGAGCCGAGCTCGCCGCAACATCGAGCCGACCTTCTTCTCCTCCTTCTCCCCCTCTTCCTCCTTCTCCCCCTCTTCCTCCTTCTCTTCCTCCTTCTCTTCCTCCTTCCACAGGAATTGGCGGGACCAGCCATTCAGTCACTACATCTTCCAGAACGACACGGGTGTCTTCTTGGGTGTATGGTCGTTAGTCCCGTCCCTCGCCGCACCCGCTCAGCATCTCGTCGGAGGGTTTCGTGCTCACCTCGCTTCGATTTTCGCCCACAGCTGCATGACGTCGGCCCTGTTCGCCTACATGGGTATCGAGCTCGTGGGAGTCACTTTCGGGGAGGCGAAAAACCCGCGCAAGACTGTACCGGCCACGATCCGCCGCACTTTCGCCCGCATCCTCAGTGCGTCGCTCGTTCTTGCTCGCGCACTCCCAGGGCACCCAGGGCACCGTGCTGACACTCTGTCCCCACCTCGCAGTCTTCTACATCGGCAGCGTCTTTGGTGCGTCGTCGCGCTCGAGCCCCTCATTTCGAGTTCGACTGACCCTTCTCACCACAGTCGTCGGCCTCATCCTCAAGGCGACGGACCCGGGCCTCATCGCCGTGACCAAGAAGAAGACGTCGGCCGCCGCCAGTCCTTTCGTTCGTGCGTCGCTACATCCCGCCCCGTCGTCATCGGGTCGACGGGCACTGACCTTCTCGTCGTCGCCCTCTACTCAGTCGCCATCGAGCGTGCCGAGATTCGCGTGCTGCCCGACATCATCAACGGCGCCATCCTGCTCTTTGTCCTCTCTGCCGCCAACAGGTGGGCCCTCTCTGCAGCAGAGGAAGGTCGCCAGCGAAACGAGCCAAGCTGACTCGTCCCCTTTCCTCCCTCCCCATTCTTCTCCCGCCCCGTTCCTCTCGCTTCACCTCGTCTACAGTGACCTGTACATCGGTACGAGGACCCTTTACGCGCTCGCCGCTCAAGGTCAGGCGCCGCGGTTCTTTATGCGCGTCAACCGCTTCGGCACGCCCTACTACGCGACGGCTTTCTGCTCAATCATCTGCTGCATCGCGTATGTCCTCTCTCGCTCTTTCCCTATCGTGTTCTACACCTTTCCGGGTCGCGGCGCCACGAGAGGGCCCAGACTGACTCATCCTGCCCCGACGACCTTCTCAAACCGCCTCTCAACGGCCCTGCAGCTTCATGGCTGTTGGCCCTGGCTCCTACCAAGTCTTTTCATACTTCACGGCCACGGTGACCCTTCTGGGCGCCCTCACGTGGATGGTGCGCCCCATCCCGCTCCTCCTCGCCGCTCCGCCGACTCGAGCTCACCTCCCGCGCCTCACAGGGCATCCTCTACTCGCACATCTCGTTCATGAACGCGCTCAAGGCGCAGGGCATCTCGCGCGACACGCTTCCGTGGAAGGCGCCGTGCCAGCCGTACGCTGTGCGTCGTCCTTTCCTCTCGTGTGACCTGGGGTCCGTGGCGCTCACGCCGATTTCTCGTCGTTTGCAGGCGTACATCGCGTTCGGCATCACGGCCGTGGTCACCTTTTTCAAGGGCGAGTCCGCATTAGTCGTGACTGGCGCCGCTGCGCTCGTCCTTGTCGTCGTCGCCGGACCCGACCTGACCTCTCTCCTTCTCGCGCAGGCTTCGACTCGTTCACGCCCAAGTTCAACTACAAAACGCTCATCACGAACTACGTCGCGATCCCGTTCTGGCTTGCCCTCTTCTTGTGGGTCTCTCCCTTCCTCCTCCACGCCGAGCGTGCCGTCGTCGCCTCGCCCTCCTCGCACGGAACCCTCACTGACCGTCTCTCTACCGGACCCCACCTCGCAGCGGCTGGAAGTTCGTCTACAAGACCAAGCGCATCCCGGCGGCCGAGGTCGACCTCGTCACCGGCCGCCGCGAGTTCGACCAGGACGAGGCGCTCTGGGAGGAGAAGGAGGCGCTCAAGGGCAAGCTCCCCTGGTGGAAGCGTGCCTGGGAGGGTGCCTAGACGGTGGGCGACGGGTCCGAGTCGGCTCAACCGGCCAGGCGCGCCGGTCGAGGGAGGGAGGGACGAGGCGAGGTTCGCGAGGGGTCCGTGCGCGTGTACACTGGGGTCGGGGCCGTCGAGGCTCGATAGACTGCCGCTGCTAAAACAATCTGTTCCCTTTCTTGCAATCTCGCGAGACGGACGAAGGAGGGAGAGCGCCGAGAACGAGAGGGTTCGTCGAACGAGAGTAGGCTTCGAGCTTCGAGGAGGCCGAGCAACTTGGGAAGGCCGCGAGCGCGTCGACTTTCCTCTCGCTCGCTCGGGTGCGAGTGGCTCGACGAGATACACGATAGGACGCACTCGTCGATACAGACTGCTCTACTCGCTCCCACCGTCCGACTCGCCCGACTGCGACTCGTCCTCCTCGTCCTCGTCCTCCTCCTCGAGGTCCGCCGCACTCCTCGCGCTACGCCTGCTCACCCTCCCGACCGAGCTCCTGCCGTCCGTCTCCGTATCCGCGTCCGACCCCGACCCGGCGCCCACATCGAGCTCGTCGCCGTCGCGCGCCGGCGAGTCCACCTCCATCGCCGACTGCTCGACCCGCTCCTCGAGCTGCGGCTCGAACCTGTCCCACTCGTCCCTCGCGCCTTCGCCCTCATCGTCAAGCGCGCCGAGGAGCAAGTCCCTCGCGCGCTCCGTGCGCGGCTCGAACCGCTCGTCGACGCCGACCGCGCCGGCCGCGAGCGCGCCGAGGAGCGAGTTGATCGGGCGCAGGCCCTCCTCGACGGCGCTCAGGTGCGGTGCCGCGCTGCGCAGGGGCGAGAGCGTGATGCGCGCGCCGCCGAGGAGCGTCGGGGTCGTCGCCGAGGCCGAGTGGAGGGACGAGGGCGAGAGGCGCGAGGGCGTGTGCGGGCGGTGGTGGTCGTGGACGAGGTGCGCGCTCGGCGTGCGCAAGAGCGAGTGGTGGTGCAGCGCCGAGGCGGAAAAGGCGCCCTGGGCGTCGAGGGAGAGGATCGGGCGGTGCGAGAGGGCGGGGAAGGACGAGGAGGGGTCCGAGGGCGAGGTCGAGCTCGAGAGGGGGCCGCGCAGGGCTTGCTGTCGGTTGATGGCCGACGTGACGAGGTCTTTGGCGGCGAGGCTGAGGGTGCCGGGCGAGCGCTGAGGCGCGGGCGCAGAGGACGGGTCCTTGTCGGCGCCGAGGCTGGACGAGGTGGTCGTGCCCGCGCTCGGCGCGTCGCCGACGTCCATCGCCGCCTTCTGGTCCCCCTTCCCGCCGCCCTGCCCCACTCGCCACTCCCTCGTCACCCTCTCGACCTTCTCCCTCCCCCTCCCCTCCTCCTCGTCCGCCTTCTCGCCCCTCACCTCGCGCCTCCTGCGCTCCTCCAACCTCCTCACCGCCCCCTCCCACCGCTTCTCGTGCGCGCTCTTGCGCGCCTCGAGCACCTTGGGGTCGACCCGCATGGCGAGGGCCGCAGCGCGCGTCGCGGCGAGGTGGGAGGCCGTCGTGGGCGACATGAGCGGCGGCGGGAGGGCCGGGTAGAAGTAGGTCGGGCCGAGCTCGGGCGGCGTGCTGGCGGTCGAGGGTAGGGGGGCAAGCGGGAAGGACGGGTGCGAGGGCAGGGCTGTCGAGGGCGCGACACCGGTGTCGGCGGCGGCGAGCGCGGGCGAGCGGGTCGGCGGTGCGGCCCCTGCAGGTGCCGGCGCCGGCGCAGGAGGGGGCGAGGCCGACGACTGGGCGACGATGGGCGGGTACCGCAGCGGGCTCGGCGCGTGCGGCGTCTGCTGCAGCAGGCTGCGGGCGCCCGACGAGAGCGGGCCCGGGCCCGTGCGCCCCGACGACGACGCGTGCGGGATCGTGACGCGCAGGCGCGGGGCGAACGTCGCGCCGTGCGTGTGCGACATCGCCGACGAGCGGTGCGACGCGGGGCGCTTGGACGACGAGGTGCGGCCGCGGTGCCGAAAGTCGTTGGGCCGGCTCGACGACGACGATGACGAGGACGCCGAGGGCCGCACGTCGTCGACAAACAGGTCGTCGACGAGGATGTCGTCCATGCCGCCGCCGTACCCGCCCTCGCCGAACCCGTCGCGCCCGTCCTCGTCGCCCGACCTGCCGACAGTCGGCGTCCCGAGCGACAAGAGCGCCTCGGCCTCCTCGAGCGCCCTGCCCTCGTGCGACGCCTCGTCGACGCGCTCGGCCTCGATGACGTCGTCGATCGACGGCGGGCGGCGCGGCTCACGGTCCTCGGCGTGCGCGAGGGCGGCCTCGCGCTTGATGTAGCGCGCGGCGAGGAGGCGCGCGAGGCGCGAGAGGCGCGCGAGCTCGCGCCTGGCCACGGTGATGCCGTCGCGGATGTCCTGCGGCGTGAGCCCGCTGTGGGGGGACGCAAGAGGGTGTCAGGAACCGCGCGAGGGAGGGGCGCAAGAGGGGAGGAGAGGCGCGACGCACGATGCAGGCCGGCCGCCCTTCCAGACGCACGGCTCGCCGCGCTCGACGCACGCGATGCAGTTGCGCTGCCTCGAGCACCTCACTGCGTAACAAGAGAGCTGTCAGCTCTGTGCGCAAGGAAAAGAAAGGAGGAGCGGACGCACGCTTGCGCAAGCGACAACCCTCGCCTGCGAGCGTCAACCCAGAGTCAGTGCGCCGTCGGCGGCTGACGAGAGAGAGATAGGGACGCACAGCTCAGGTGGCCCGACTTGCGCGAGTTCTTGGCGGCGTCGTGGACGAGGAGCTTTGCGAGCCTGTGGCGCTGGCGGCTCTCCTCGTTGCGCTTCTTCGACACCTTGTGGTGGCCGTGGCCGTGGCCGGGTGGGCCCCTTCTCGTGCCGACGTGCGAGCGGTCAAAATGGGGCGTGCCAAAGGTGTACGGCGCTGGGCTGGCGGCGGGGTTGAGCGCGAGGTCGTTGGCGAGGAAGGGGAACGAGTGGGACGAGAAGGGCGAGGGCGCGGGCGGCGGGGCGAGCGGGTGAGGGTCGACGCCGATGTCGGGTGCGGTGACGGAGCGGACGCGCATGGCGGCCATGGTGCTCGCGGTGCTGTTGGGCGCGAGGAGGGGGCGAGGCGCGTGGGTCGAGGTGGACGGACGGCTCGAGGCCGCGGTCGCAGGCTGGCGGGAGCGCGCGAGGGGTGCGACGGGCTGGAGGGTGGTCTGCTGGTGCGACCTTGAGCAAGCGTGCAAGCGCAGCAGCTTGTGGTGAAGAGCGAGAGAGAGGACGAGAGGCGCCGGTTCCGAGGCAACCGGGGGTGCGAGGAGCGTGCGTGAGACTCGTCGCGCCTTTTCGGCCCACGCAAGCTCTCTCTAGCTGCACGTAGGCAGGCCAAGCGGGGCTGCACACGCTCTGCTGGAGTGGGAGAGAACGACCGAGTCGGTGTCGAGTCGGGATGCAGCTCGCAGGAGGACGACGAGGCGAGGGCGACTCGTTCGAGCGCGTGCGCCTGCATGCTGAGCTCGAGAGAGCTGTGAGTAGCTTGCAGGCCACTTTGCGACAGTCGCGAGGGAGAGCTGGAGCGGGACGGTGGCCGTCGTCCTCGTCGCTCGTCGGTTGGCTCGCGATCAGCGCGATCAGCTCTCGTCCTTCCAACCACTCGGCCATGCTCTCTGTTCGCCTGCCTGCTGTCCGCGCCACTGCGCGCACTTTCGCCACCTCGGCTCGCGCCGGCACCAACATCCCCGTCCGCGCCGTCGAGGCAGAGGGCCGCGCCCAGGTCCCCGCCGAGCGGCCACAGGGCGCCATCACCCAGGCCGGCGTCGTCAGTGGTGCTCCCGGTGCGTCCCACCACCTCCCTGCAGCACCCTCCCGCGACCGCCCTGACCCCTCGAGCGCGCGAAACAGACGAGATGCACCGCCGCCCCGTTCGCATCTACCGTCCCGCGCCGCCCTCGACCTCGTCCGCAAAGACGACCTCGCACCACTGGCGCATCGACTGGGACATCCTCCAGGGCGCCGGCCGCTGGGAGAACCCGCTCATGGGCTGGGCTAGCTCGTGCGTCCCACCCCCTCCCCCTTTCCTCTCTCCCTCCCCACCTCCTCTCTCCCACCTCGGCCACTCTCACGAGCCGCGGTCTACTACACCTCGAGCCGGGGAACAGTCGAGGCGGCGCACCGGAGCGTCGCGCAAGAGGAGAGACCGCTGACCTTCCTCCTCCACCCTCTCCCGCCTCCCTTTCTCGACCTCAACAGCGGCGACTACGTCCAGGGCACCCACCTCAAGTGCGTCACTCGCCCTCTCTATCTCTCTGCGCATTGTCTCTGCGCACCCACTCACGCTCGCCTCTTTGCCGTCGCGTAGGTTCAACACGGAGGAGGACGCCGTCCACTTTGCCGAGAAGCAGGGCTGGGAGTACTACGTCCAGCGGCCCAACGTGCAGAAGTTTGTCCCCAAGAGCTACGCCAAGTGCGTCCCTCGCTCATTCCCTCTGGTTTGGCACCTCGTTGACGCAGGAACTGACCTCTCGCTTTGCCCCTCTCTTCCTCGCCCGCCCTCGCCCACCATCGCGCACTCCCATACCTGCTCCCCCTGCCCGCAGCAACTACGACTACACGTCGAAGCCGCTGCGCATCCACCACACGTACGTCCACCCTCCTCTCGCCGCCCTCCTCCTCGCCGGATCGACTAACCTCTTTCCGTCTCTCTGCCGCCCGCAGCAAGTAGAGCGTCGTCCCGTGCCCGCCTGCCAGTGTGCGCCTGTAACTCGTGGCACCTTTCTGTTACAACTGAGCGAGAGAGAGCTGTCCCTTGCGTGCGAGAGCGAGAGACTCATCAGTTGTCCTCCCGTCCTTCCCTCGACTCCGTCCATTCTCGCCGCTGCGCCGACTACAGCGCGCCGAGCAGCCAGCGCGTCCCTGCACCCGCAAACCTTGTCGCCCCGTGCCGCAGCTGCGCCGAGCTGTGCCTCCTCCCCCACAAGCTCGCCTCCTCGACCTCGCTGCCTTGCTCGACACGTCCGCCGTGCGGGCCGGCGCCACCTCACCAGGCCCATGAGCAGCTCGACTCGCCCGCTCACCGGGGCCGCCAAGCACGCGCACAAGTCGAGCGACCACGACCTCGTCGCGTCGCTCCTCCCGACGACCTCGACCGCGAGCGGCGGCACCAGCACGGCACCAGGTCAACCGGCGAGCACGGCCGTTGCAGCAGCACTTCGTCCACGACACGTCGCGCACCACGTCGCCCGAGCAATCGCCGCAACGACCTGGACGACCCGCCTCGTCCTCCTCACGCTCGCCTTCCTCGTCGTGCGGGTCCTCCCCTTCCCCGTCCCTCCCTTCACCGCCCCTCTCTCGCTCCCACACCCGATCCCGCACCTCATCGCCGCCGCCGAGCGTACCCACGCCGAGCGCCTCGCGTCCGCCCCGCGCACCCTCCACGACGCCGCCGCGCGCTACACGGCCGCCGCCGCAGGAAGAGGAGGAGGCCGCCGCCCGCCAAAGGGCTACGACGCCTGGTTCAACTTTGCGTCGCAGCGCGCAGCGTGCCGGATCGACGGGTTCGACGAGCTGCGCGCCTCGCTCGACGTGTGGTGGGGGCTCGAGGGGCGCGAGATCCGCGCGCGGATGGAGCGCATAGGCGACGCGGGCGACGCGGCGAGTGCGCTCGGGCGGGTCAGGGTGCGCGAGGGGAGGGTCGTCAGGTGGGACGAGATGCGGCGCGAGGGGCTCGGCGTCGGCGCGAGGGACATGGAGGACAAGGACGCGAGGAGGGCGCTCGAGGACATGCTCCAGGCGCTCATCGACGAGGGCGTGCGGTTACCTGACGGTGCGCCCACTCTCTCCCTGTCTCTCTATCGTCGACGGACTCGCACTGACGTTCGCGCGAGTCGTGGCCGCGCAGTCGACCTGTTCGTCAACCAGCTCGACGAGCCGCGCGTCGTCATGCCGTACGAGGTCCGCAACGAGCTCGAGGCACGTGGCCGACGACGAAAACGTGCGTGCTTGACGGGTTCGCTCTCTTGGTGGCACAGCCCGAGCGAGTATTGACCTTGAGTCCGCCGCTCCCTCTTGCGCGCACAGCTCGACCGTACCAGCTCGACGACTTTGTCCTGCACGAGGCGAGCGCACCTGGAGCTCGACCCGCCTACGACGTCATCCGCCAAACCTGTCCGCCCTCGTCGCTCGCCCGTCGTGCGCCCCTCTCGCCGTCACCCGGCACCAACCCGCACGTCTCGCAGCGCCACACGTCGCGCTTCACGACGCCGCCGCAGCTCGGCGCGTTCCTCGCGCACCCGGACCTCGAGCGCACGACGTGGTGCGACCAGCCCGACCTGCAGGAGCTGCACCAGACGTTCATCCGGCCGTTGAGCTTCAGCTGGACCGACGGCGTGTGGCCCGTGTTCAGCAACAGCAAGCTCGCCGGGTTCGCCGACGTGCTCGTCCCGGCGTGGTACACGTGGTACGACCGCATGCCGTACGACGAGGCCAAGGACGTCGAGTGGAAGGGCAAGGCCAACCAGGTGCGCCCGACGGTTCTTCCTCTCTCTTTCCCCTCGCCCTCTCTCTCGCCCTCGAGGCACCTCGCATCGACACTGAAACCCTCTCTCGACGTGTGCGCAGCTCTACTGGCGCGGCACCAACACGGGCGGGCGCTCGGTCGGGCTCGAGTGGATGGGCTGGACGCGGAGCCGGCTCGTGTCCAAGGTGAACCGGCTCATCGAGTGGCGGCATGAGGACCGCGTCCTCGTCGCGACGGCCGACAACCGCACGCTGTCGGCGACGCTGCCCTCGTCGGCCCTCAACGCCGCCCTCGCCGACGTCGCGTTCGCGGCGCCCGACCAGCACGGCGACGCCGACTCGCTCGAGTCGCAGAGCACCGAGCCGTCGTTCCGGTTCACCGACGGCGGCCACTACGTCCCGTTCGAGCACAACTACCTGTTCAAGGCCGTCCTCGACCTCGACGGCACGGCCTACTCGGGCCGGTTCCCGACCCTGATGCGCTCGCGCTCGGCCGTCGTCAAGTCGCGCCTGTTCACCGAGGCCCTCGACGACACGCTCATCCCGTGGTACCACTACGTGCCCCTCTCGGTCCGCTACACCGAGCTGTATCACGTCCTCGCCTACTTTTTCGGCCTCGCGGCCGTGCCCGCCGTCGCGCGCGACCAAGCGCTCCCCGCCGCCGCCCTCGCGCCGCGCGACCTCGACGCCGTGCGCCGCGGCGTCGCGCACGAGGAGGCGCTGTACAAGGTCGCCGAGCGCGGGCGCACGTGGGCGACCGAGTGCGCGAGGAGGGACGACGCGCTCGTGTACGTCTACTTGCTCGTGCTCGAGTGGGCGAGGCTGTGCGCCGATGACCGCGAGAGCGACGCGTGGAACCTCGTGCTGTAGCTGTCGGCATCTGGAAATAGACTGTACATAGATGCGCGCGACTCGAGCTGCAGCGAGCGAGTGAGTCCGAGAGCCAGAGCATGCAAGGCGAGCGGGCTCTTTCTCTCGGGCACTTCTCTCTCTTGCAGTCGAGGCTTTGCTCCTCCTGCAGCGTTCAGCAGTTCATCGTGCGCACGAGCTGTAGCGAGATGGCCAACCGCAAGCGAGAGAGCGAGAGCGAGAGGGCGAGGCCCGAGCGGCGGCCCTCTCAGAAGCATGCTTGCGACAGCTTGGCTCTCTCGAGAACGGCGCTGCAGGTAAAGATGCTCGAGTGCACGACGCTCGCTACGTCGACTCGCCCCTTTCAGTGACCTGCCGCCGCCTGTGCCGCCTTGCGCGCCCGAGCCCACCTCAAGAACCCAGGCGACAGCGCCTCGAGCGAGTCGCCCGGCCGCTCGCCGCCGTCGACGACGTCGTGTCCGCGCTCCCTGCACGCCACCTTGAAGTCCTCGATGGCGAGCGCGGCGCCCGGCGCAGCGCTGCTCGACGCCTCGAGCGAGCGCGGGAAGACGGCGACGAAAGGGGTGTGAGCGTCGGGCGGGACGACGGCGGGTGCGGGTCGGCTGGTGTATGGCGTGTCGAAGCCTGTGAAGAAGGCGCGAGGGGACTGGAAGAGGGCGTGGCGGGGGAGGGTCGGCGGGATCGAGACGAGCTTGACGAGGACGGGCGGCGAGTCGCCTCGGGCAAGGGCGCCGTCGAGCTCGAGGGCCGAGGGGTCCGTCTGGATGCAGTCGAGTTGGGCGAGGATGGCGGGCGAGAGGATGTCGGCCAGCTGGAACGTGTCGTACGACTGGTAGTCGGAGAAGCCCGCGAGGCGAACGGCGCGCAGGGCGGGCAGTGCGACCGGGTCGAACAGTCGACAGGGCAAGGACGAGTGCGTCGAAACGTTGTAGATGCTCAGTTCTTCGAGTTGAGGTAGCACGACGGGCTCGCGGAGCGAGAGTCGGACGCCGACGAGCGTCAGGCGACGAAGACCTGTCGCGGGAGAGGGCTCGTGAGGGCAGTTCAATAGGAGTACGAGTGAGACGAGGACGCACAAGTATACTTCTGCGCGACGGACAGGTCCAGGTCGGTCCACGAGCCGTGCACGCGCAGGTCCGCGACGGCGGGCAACCACCTCGCGACGTCGACAAGGTCGACGAGGGCGGCGTTGGCCGTCCACGACCAGCGCACCGTGTACGTCGTCGTGCCCTCGCCTCGTCCGTCGGCCGAGCATGCCGCCTTGAGCATCTCGAGCTGCCGCCCTTGCGAGATCTCGATGTCCCGCCAGAGTCGGCGACGGGCGACTTGGGCGAGCGAGCGCGACGCGAGGCAGATCCGCGCGAGGACGTCGTTGCGCGACGGGTGCTCGTGGCGGACGTCGACGTGTTTGGCGAGCTCGTCGACGATGAGGTGGAGGACGTCGTCGTTGAGGCAGGCCATGATACCGCGCGAGAGGAGCTGCGAGATCCACAAGGTCAGTCGGTGCGCAACAGCAGCCGGGCGGAATGAGTCGGGCACACCTCGGAGGAGACGACTTGAGAGGCGAAGGGGCGGGAAAGAGGAAGCTCGGGAGAAACGACCGCGCAATCTGAGGAAGCGAGGAGGTGCCTGCGCCCTCCGTGTCCGGACAGACGATCGAGGCTCGAGCGTGCGGAATCGCCGGAGAGCGCGCACGCGGGGCAGAGGGAGAGGCCGAGCCCAAAGACGCTCGGTGTCGGGCTCGTGGCCGGAGGAGCAGGCCGCGAGGAAGGTCGAGCGAGGCGAGGGGAGCAGGCAGCCTCTACTGAGGCCCGCCGGCCCGCGCAGGGCCCGCACCAGCAGCAGGAGCAGAGGTTCAGCCGTCAATGCGGTCGCCCATGAGGTGCAGCGAGCGTGAAAGCCTCATCAGTTCCGGCGCTCGCCGGAGGAGGGATAGGAGAACCGCTCGTCGCTCGACCGCTGAACGAGGTTGCTCGACCGGTAGATTCGAGCAGCGTAGTCTGAGAGACACCAGCAAGGCCGGCAGCACCTGCTCAATGGCCTGCGAGAGCGACAGCGAGCGTTGCGAGTTGGCGGACGGGGCAAAACTCGCAGGCGAGCTCGCCTCCTTCTCGCTTTCTCCTCACCTCTAGTCACCTCTTGGACGTGCCAGTGTTCAGCGTGCGTCTGTGCTCTCCACTCTGGCACCCCGTGCGACCCGTCCTGACCCTCCCCCGTTGCCCTCGCTCGCAGGTTTGCTCCCCTTCTCCCCCCTCCACCAACAAACGCCCAACCAGCCATGTCTAACGTCGCTAAGGCCGACAAGGAGTTCGACTCCGCCGCTCCTGCCGCCAAGACCCACCGCATCCGCATCACCCTGACCTCGCGCAACGTCAAGGCCCTCGAGAAGGGTGAGCTGCGCCTCCTCTCCTCCCCTCGCCTCCTCTCGCTCACCCGTACCGCACGAGCACAAGGGACTGACTCGCTCCCTTTACACCCACAGTCTGCTCGGACCTCGTCAACCGCTCGAAGGACAAGGACCTCCGCGTCAAGGGCCCGGTCCGTCTCCCGACCAAGCGCCTCCATATCGTCACCCGCAAGACGCCTTGCGGTGAGGGCTCCAAGACCTGGGACCACCTCGAGATGAAGATCCACAAGCGTCTCATCGACCTCGACTCGCCGGCCGAGGTTGTCAAGCAGATCGTGCGTCCCCTTCCCTCGTTCTCCTCCTCGCGACCGGATCTTCGAGTGGCAGCTGCTGACCCTGTCTCCTGTGCGCAGACCTCGATGTCGATCGAGTCGGGCGTCGAGGCCGAGGTCACCATCCAGGCCTAAGCGTCTCGAGAACCCGGTGCGCGTCCGCTGGCAAGGTCGGGTTGAGGGTCCGAGCCTGTGCGAGCCCTTTGCTGGGCTTCGCGCACGGCCTCTCTTCCCGCCCTTTGCTCGTGTGACACGTGCCCGTTCTTCGTTCGCTCGTGTGCGTCGTCGTCAGGTCGTCGTGCGCGAGATGTGGTTGATCGAGTCGGATGAGCGTGTGCAACGTCGTCCTCTTTGTCTCCGCGCACCCGTTTCCTTCTGTCCTTGAGAGCGAGAGAGAACTGTGTTCCACGTCGGTCGCAAGCATGTACGAGAGTGCCCGTGCGACGCGAGGCTGAGCTTTCGTGGGCCGGGTCGAGCCAATCTCGCGAGCGAGTTTCGCTCGTCCGCGCTCGCCCTCTTCCTCGAGTCCTCTCCCTCTCCCCTCCTCACCACGCTCCACCCAGCCTCGCAGCCCTCGCCGCCGAATGAGTGGTATACCGCACTCTCGCCAATCTATGATCCAGCTCTCCAACGCTGCCCCCTGGTGCGTCTCGCGCCTCCTTCTCCCCCTCGTCACCCCGCAGTCAACCCTGGACTGACAAGCTCCCGCGATGCGCTGCAGCGTCAACACCACCTGCCCCTCGCTCGAGACCGAGCCCTCTGGAGACACGCCTGGTCGCCCGCCGTAAGGACCGCCCTGCGCCCGCACCCGCCCACCCGCCCACCGACCCCGGCCTCCCCCCGGCATCCACCACCACTGTACGTGCACCCTCCACAGCCCGTATAGGGCCAAATACACGTTGTTGTTATTTTTTGTCATTGGTTTTTTTTTTTTTTT